AAACAGGCGTATAAGGGCCTTCATTTTCACTAAATAGATTGATCAATTTCTCCAAGTCTTAAACTCAAACTCAGTTCTTTGAATTAAGGAAGTTCCTTCACATAGTGTAAATAAAAAGTGTTTTATTGTATTTCAACACTGGGATTTAAAATAAAGTTTAGTGTGGGTTCAAAATAATAATTGGACGCTCAAACACTTATAACACAATAAGTTTCTTTATTTGGATCCCTCAGCTTTCACAAAGTGGAAAGAAAAGGTTAAACAAACCAAGCATCAAGATCAGAAACTATTTGACATGTTAAAGGTCGATAATAGAAGCAAACAGATAACTGTTAAACTAAACAACAAAAAGAAACTCAAAACAACTCGAATAAAACAGGATTGTGACTCTTTTTCTCAATCAAAATCAGATTAAACTTCAGGGTTTAATCACAGAAATCTTCATACATTTTCCAGTTTGATCTGAATGGAGCCTCATACAAAGACTTCAGGTTGTTAGCAGTAGAGATTTAAAACCAGGAATAGACTGAAAATAATTCTCAGACTGAAACATATTGGCAGATTAACAAAAACCCAAACACAACAAGACTTTTTGTATTTTTTAACCATTAAATGACAAATAAACAAAGTCAGAACTGTTCTTGTGATCAATAATTAAAGACCCTATGGTATGGACACGTACCCGCTGATATATGTACTATAAGATACATATTTAAGGAGTAACGAGGCAGCAGCGGTTCATCCTGTTTCATCTCTTAGCTGTTCTGTTCAGTCGTCACACTGATCTTCAGCGGTATTATACTCAACGCATGCTCAGAGTTAAAGAACGGAAACATCCTCTCGGTGAAAATGCGTTTGAAGGTGTGAATGTGCGTCTTAGTTTCGGCGTCACAGAACGACACCCGTCCTCTGTCCCAGTCCACGGTCACTCGGACCTTCTTGAGCTTCTTCTTCACTCGGACAGTAGTGGACGCGCTTGGTGGTGCCGATGACAAGTATTTGCCTTTGTAGTGCCACAGTGACACTACTCCGGCCTCTATCGGGCCCTTCCTCGGGGCATTCTCCGGGAACACGCCCAGACGCCAATCTGCGTTGCCTTGCACATCCACATCCCAGGTGTGAGTCCCCGAGTTGAAGCCCTCGGAGCCCAGGGCGGCGACGCAACCATTGAACCTCTCCGGGTTGTCGGGGAGGTACTGATCCGCTACTGGCACCAAGCCGGTCAGATCGTCGTTCACGATGAACTCGCTGAACGCCGTGTTTGGATCCAGAATCACAGGAGTGTAGGAGACCATGTCCTTCATCTTGTTCCAGATGTTGAAGGTCAGGTTGCCCAGGTGTTTGGCCTCGTCTATCAGAGCTCCTGAGGGAAACTCGGAGACGTTCACCATGGGGCGCTTCAGGACTACCTCCACTACCTCCTTGCGGTTCTGCATGACGGAGAGGTCGTCGCCTTCCAGCTCGTCCTCTGCGGCGCTGATCGTGTCCGTGAGAGTTACTATCTCTTTGCTCAGAACCTCTATCCTCTTCCTTATCACCCGATTCTTCTCCTGCTCTTCCTCTTTCAGTGCAGCCAGCCTGGCCTCCTCTTCCTCTTTTAGAAACTGGTGAAGCTTCTTAAACTGCTCCTTAATCTCGGCCTCTGTGTGTTTGGCCTGGCCCTCAATGAAGGTTTCTGCTTCATCAAACTTCTCTTTTTCTTCTTCATATTTCTTCAACTTCTCCTTCAAGGGCTCCAGAGCCTCCTCGAGTTTACAGCGTACCATGAGATTAAAGTTGATGGATATATAGCTGTGGTAGGTGTGTTCATCTAAATCCGTGCAAGCGATACACATCGGCATGTCATCGTCCTGACATTCGAATTCGTACTTCAGATCGTGCAGAGGGCAGATATCCTCGGAACCTGAAGCTTTCTCCTCTCTCTCCAACAAGAAGGCCACGCACAGGTTCTTCAGCACCAGGTTACACGCCGGCTCCGCCATCGAAGACTCGGCCCTACAAATCGGACACTGTCGCGACTCTTTCGCCTGCCACCAGATCTTCAGACAGTCTTTGCAGAAGCTGTGGCTGCAGGTCAGAACGACGGGGTTTTTAAAAATATCGTGACAGACTGTACATTTGAGATGCATCTCTGATTTGGAAGCCATTTTGTCTCCGAGTGAATCTGAAACAGAGCAGAGAGAAAGTAAATGTAGAGCTACTGCCTCTGTAACATTATGAATCTAATAATATATATAATATTGAGTATGCAAAATAAAAACATTGTGCAATGTAGGATTTAAACCCACTTTTTCCTCACAAGTTTGATACACAGTTTTAATCAATTCAGTAAGCAAATATACATAAAAAAATGTTTATATCCCAAAACTCACTAATCTCAGTGTGTTGACACTATCACACATACAGCTGGCAAAATCAAAAGGTAATGCACATTTAACCTAAAAAATCACCACATTTGTTCCTAAGGCAGAAACTGGCCCCTTCGCAAAACTGCTGTAAAAATCTTATAAATCAATATTTTTTCCTACTTTAAATGAGTCAATCTTTTAAGAACTACTTCAACTTGAAAAATATAACCTATCAAATGTTTACTTATATTTGGGGATTTTAACCCTTTAAGGCCAATATGTTTACACAACTCCGCTGTTGTGGAAAGTCATCAGGTTTGTTTTGAAACCAGTTTATTTTCCATTTTTTGAGTCTATTTTGCTGCTGCTTCATCAATTTCATTTTCAGATGAGTCAAGGCTAGACACCAGATCATCTGTCTCTACTCTCATCCTCCTCCGTGGAGGATCAGAGTCCTCGACGGAGGATGAGGAGCCATCTTCGCTCTCGAGCCCGTGATTTTTCAGCGCCTCCTGTGTGCTGTAATGCCTTGCCATCTCCTAAAATGACTACTCCCTCACTCTGCTGGTACTTAGAACCATGGAATGCAGTGCCCCTGCATCAACAGCTCTGAACGAAGAACCAAAACAAAGTCACTCAGAGTTTTATATTGAATTAGTTTATAACGCAGAGTTTGGTTTCTAAGAGAAAAGATTGTGAAGTTGGGACCACACACACACACCACACAACACACACACATCACCAATAGCAATAACACTTATTTCAGTAGCAAAGGGCACCCTGGCAGAAAACAGTAAAAAGATGTGAAATTTTGCTGCATGCTTTGATGGAAAAGTAATGACCATGTGGTGAACTAATATTAGTGATAAGACCGATACAGATTTTTTAGGGCCGATGCCGATTTTTTTTCACCAGCCTTAAGCATACCGATACGGACTGCCGATTTTCTTGAGCCGATTCTACTTTTGGCTCTCTGTTTACATCATACAAATGCAAAGATGATAAAACTGTTACGAGTCTCAATTTTAAAAAAGGAACATTTATTGAAATTAAAAAAGGTGAAAAATAAATTCTGAAATAAATATTTAAGCATAAATAAAATGCACACACCTATTGCACACAGTAGCAAAAATAAATCCCCACAACAGAGGAAGTTTAAAGACATTATTTGGTGATTCTGTGGAAAAGAGAAAATGTAAAGATCACCGTATACGCCATCACGCTCACACCTGTCTGGTAGCATGATAAACGTAACACAAATTATATTCAACTACCCTATAAAACACGTATTCTCTCATTAAAGCTCTTCTTGAGGGGGGGGGTGAGCTTGACATCACCGCGAATGGACAAGGGAACTGTGAGAGAGAAGAGAGAGAGAGAGAGAGAGAGAGAGAGAGAGGACAGAGAAGACGACAGAGAGAGAGAGACAGAGAGAGAGAGCAGAGAGAGAGAGAAGAGAGAAGAGACAGACAGAGAGAGAAGAGCAGAGAGAGAGAGAGAGAGAGAGACACACATACCGCTCAAGAGAGAAGGAGAGAGAGAAACAGAGAGGAGAGAGAGAAGAGACAAGAGAAACAGAGAGAGAGAGCAGAGAGAGGAGAAGAGAGAAACAGAGAGAGAGAGAGACAAGAGGAGAAGACAGAGGGACAGACAGACAGACAGACAACAGAGAAGAGAGGGAGAGAGGAGAGAGAAAAACAGAGAAGAGGAAAGAGAGAGAAGAGAAACGAGAGAAAACAGGGAGAGAAACAGAGAGAGAGAGAGAAACAGAGAGAGAGAAGAAACAGAGAGAGAGAGAGAAAACGAAGAGAGAAGGAAACAGAGAGAGGAGAAACGAGAGAGAGAGAACAGAGAGAGAAGAGAACAGGAGGAGAGAAACAAGAGAGAAGAGAGAGAGAGAGAGAGACACACGTGTCCAAACCTCCAGCCAGGTGGTCGCTAATAAACACCAGGACCCACGGAGCAACTTTCACTTTCAAAGTGTATGCAAATATGTCAGTAAGTTTAAAGCCAGTAAAGTAAAAGTTAAAAGATGCTTTGAAAGTTTAAAATTAGTGTTGTGTTGAAGAGCTTCATCAAGCACTCTCTTAGTGGGGGAGGGGCTCTGCATGTCTGCCCCTGCAATGGTCAGCACACGGAGCTGCCTCGGCCTGCGGACACGTGTTGTGAATAAGGCCGCATCGGACCGATACACGTAAAACGCATAAATGGCCGATAGTCGGCCGCCGATGTTATCGTCGATCACTAATATATATAAAATTTTAAATTGAAAGCTTATAGACTAAAATGAATTTAACATTAAAGAAAGCATATCGTTTATGTTAAGATGAACATGGGATCAGAAATGGCGTTTTGAATGGTTTTTCATGGGGCAGTTTTCTTGCCAGAGGAACAATGTGTGAGTTTGTGCGTAGCTTTAACATTTTAGGCTAATTTAAGGAATAAGAACAGAATCTAAACAAAATGCAAATGAAAAACCTTTGGCAAAGTTTGAGTTCATTCATTGAACACAAATACCTGAAAATAAAAAACGGAACGGTAACAAAGAGTCCGAGGAACCCCTAAGGGTTAAACGTGTTTTTGAAGCCATGAACGACGGGAACCAGGTATACAGGGGTATAACAGGTAGGTATATACACCTGGATGGGAGAACTAACCCTTTACATTGTCAGCAGCACAAAATGGTCGTTTCACTCCATTAATGAACCCTAACACAAACAGTACCTGGTGGCCGGTGCAGCTCTGTGGTCCTGTGTTTCCCTCAGCGGTGTATGGCCTCATCTGCTACTTCATTTCACCCAGCCTCTCCTAATCTTCTCCGGCTCACAAAACACAAGACACTTCGTAAGTTTCCCGTCGCAGAATGAGTCCTTAAAGTCGTGTGGACGTTGTGTTTGGTTTGAACCTACCGCCTTCCGTTTTCACTGACCGACTTCAGAGGAAACCGCGTTCACTTCCGCCGCAGACACAGTTCAAATCATCACAACTCTTATTTTTATAATGTTGGTTAAATTAAATTTAAAGAAAGCATAATAATGCATAATAAGTAATAATAGTTTCTTAGGAATACGCTGCTCAAAATATTCTGCACACCATTTTACTGTATATATTTCTTCATTATAGCCTTTTATCTTATACTATTCTATTTTGTGATTCTTTATTTGACTTTTAGATTTATGTATTTTCTACATTACATTTCCCTATGCTGCTGTGTCTTCTCAATAAAGGAACATTTTATCTCATCTTGCATGTAATTTTATTTTAAATGAACTGTAAAAGTGTTGTTTTTTTGCTACCATAATACAATTTTGTTGAACATTTTTGGAAATAAAGAAACCAAAGTCACACAATGTAATAAACAAAACTTACCGTGTTGTAAAACTGAAAATAAAAGCCCCAGGGGAGTTTTTTAGAGATGTTTATACAAGAGGAATGATACAAATGTAACTTTAATCTCATAATGTCAGAGATTATTGATTCTGTAAATAGATTATTCAGCATCTTACTGATATATTACTTTAATTAAAACATTTAGTTTTCATTACCTCACATAAGTTGGCTTACTTTGTACCTATTCATTTAAAATAATGATCATTTATTGTGATAAATTCAACGCATTGGTAAAATATTATAGAACAAATGCTGCTAACTGTCGTCATTTGTGGTCTGATAAACAATAAATTCATCACATTTACTACTTCCTAAGCTATTCATATACTCTTATACTAATATATTGTACATATTGTAAACATTTAATAAATGTAACATTGATTTTAATGTTTGGGAACTTTATAATTTGGACAACAACAATGATTCCCAGCTCAAACATGCAGTTGTTGATAAATTGATTCATTCATTTGTATCCATCAGCTTCCACAAAGCGGCGGCTGCTCTTTATTTACAATTGAACATGATACAAAATCAGTAAAAAAAAACAAACCAAACTTCTAAAGAAGATCAGAAACAAAGTGAAATTCTTTTGCACACGAAAAACTTAAACTTAAAAAGCTAATAATTAAACTACTAACTGAAACCAAAACAAACATGTCTTTGGAATAATGAGATAATACATAATGCAGCATAAGAACGATAATAAGAGTAAATCAACAATACATGAGAT